GCCGCAGCGTGTCCAAGTCCATGTCGGAGCTGGTGGTGGTTGGGGTAGTCGGTGGGTGCGTATCCAAGTCCGCTGCGTGGAAGTTCTGGTCTGCTGAGATATGTCGGGAATAACATCATAGTAGTCAATTCAGTAGGCCATGACCAGACAGGAGAATATTTGCGATGCTTATTCGTCCAAAGTCGTTTGGCCATGGCGTCGAGGTCCTGTGCCGCAGAGAGGAGAGAGTCTAGTGCGGGGTCCACGCGGTACTCGCCAACGATGTGGATGTCGTTCTCGGGGCGCTGGTGGAGCTCCTGGGCGGCTGCGTCGCTCGTGGCGTAGATGCTGGGATGTGTGGGTGCCGCCGCGAGGCCGCCATCGGTAGCGGGCTTGCCGAGGGCGGCGCAGTAGTGGTCAGATGCGGGTCGTACACTCGGAAATGCCAAATAGTTACGTTTCTTCGGGCCTGCCTTAGTGCCTGCACGAAGTCTGCTGAACTCTGCGACTCGTGAGAGATCGCGCTGGTGGCAAGCGCCAGTGATTTGTTCGTCGAGAAAGTGATGCCACCATGCCCGTTTCCATTTTGCATGTTCACGGAGTCGGCGAGAGATGAGCTTGAGGTGAATGTCGTCGACCGCCATACCTTTGTCACGCAGTTGTGCACGTTCTCGAAGGAGTTCTTGTCGTGTACGCTGAGCGTCTTTGAGCCAAGCTGGATGTCCTCCGTGACGTGAGTAGTGAGGGATCGTTGCTTGCTGGATCAGATATGCGACATATGCTGCATGTCGGTCGGGGAGCTGGTCATGTTGTAGAACTCGGAGAGTATGTGCATGTTGTGTGAGCTGCTGATGTAGGTCACGTAGAAATTCAGCGCGTCGGCATCCTGTCTGTAGTCCTGCTGCAAGCAGGGCCCAGTCCCATCGTGGTGCATGGTCTGTAGAAGATGAAGTTGGGCAAGTCAATTGGACATGAATGAGCATTGGGATGTGGTCGAGCATGTGAGGAAGGACACGCAAGCGTTGATGAGATCGCCAACATAATTTGAGCTTCGTAATAATAGAGAGCGCGTCAATCGGGCCGATCCAATAGTCGATTCTGCTGCGAGCACCGCCATTGCCGAAGAAAGTCGGCCCAGTGTTCCAGAAAGTATTATACGCGCGAAGCTGATTAAGGATGAGACTTTCATGAATGGATGTGCCTACGGTGGTCTCTGGGGCGGGCTGCTGTGGTCCGATGCTGTCGTCAGTACATAATGCCCGATGACGGCGTCCCATGCCTTGATTGAGGTCGCCGAAGAATAGAGGCGTCATACGTGTCGGAGTAGAGGTGATCTCTTTTGTAATCCACTGCCAAATTCGTGTGCATGTCCGCTCCGTAATCTTTGCATTTGAACTGTGTGGGACTGGGGGGAGGTAACCTACGATCAGTCTAACTCGAAAATGTCCTCGTACTATATCAATGGAGCCTGCACGGCCTTGTAAGTCCGATGGCGGGGAAGCAATCCTGACCACGTGCTTGGGAGAGAAACGTCGCTTAGAAATCGCAATGGAGCATCCGCAAGCGGAGGTAACATGTGGGGACCTACCCCAGCCCCAATGTATCCAGAAATGGTGGCGAGATTCTTCACGATGGTGTGATAGCTGTGCAATCTGTCGAATATGTGTGCCAGGGCATAATATACCGTACTGGTTGCGAAACTCATGGCTGATGGAGTCGGTCCTTCCAGGAAAACTGATTAGTGAATATGGGTTCCAGCCTACGAACTTTGCATTCTCGCTGTGTCGTATTGAGCTGCTGCATCGTCGCAATGTTGTCATACAGGGTTCTCCTCCACCAGTAGCGCCGCGCCACGCGGCGGCGCACACGGAGCGTCTGGGCCAGCCTCAGCAGGCTGGGGGATCCATGGCGGAGGACTGCGCGAGATGTGTGGGAGAGAAAGGGGAAAGTGTGTGAGGCCTGTTCACACGGGAGGATTCGAGCCGTTCGCGGCCTTATCACCGCAATTCGCCTGGGCATCGTTTTTGGATGGGCTGGTGGGGATATTTTTGGATTCGCGGCACGCAAGGAGAAGTCCAGAGGGCGGTATGACCGAGGCTGGGGCACAGCGACAGACAATTGGCGCGACACCGCGCAGAGTGCGCTGGTGGGGATATTCTTTTGATTCGCGGCCCGCAAGGAAAAGTCCAGAGGGCGGTAAGAACGAGGCTGGGACACAGCGAAACTGGTGGGGATATTCTATTTTACAGCCGCAGGCGGAAGCGCCGGCGGCGGCGGGTCACGGTCGGGCTGCGGCCGTGACGAATTAGCCGGGCGCGCGCGGGGGCCGCGGATCAGGCGGCGGTGCAAGCTGCAGCCCAGGGAGTCTGAAGGGAAACAGCCACCCAGGAAGCAGGGAGGACGCTGCCAAAATGGCGCGACGCACACCCCCAGTCAAGGATCGTGTCGGTCCGACGATCACAAGGCGGTGGGGATCTGACTCCGTGCAAGAAATGCGTCAGTAGCCCAGGGTGTCTGTCGGGTATGACCGAGACCGTAGGCAAGAGAGCTGACGTCGTCCAGCAAGGAGAAAGGGACTCTGACAGCGCCAGCGAACCGTCGCAGCTTCAGAGTACGCATCCACGCGGCTGAAAAGGCACGCCTGAAGTCATTGACAACCGGATTCAACCCTCAAACCAACTGCAGAAGAATGCGTTCGCACGCGAAAGATCAACGACATGATGTGACGCAGTGCAAAGGTACACCTGCTCCCGACCTTGGCGAGAGAACCGACGGCATCCGAGGTGACAGGGCGTGTACCAGGAAGCAACTAAGTGACATAACAAAGAGCGGCTCTCCAGGAGACTCTGAAAGACCAGAAAGAGGAAATAGCGCTCTGAGAAAGCTGTGCAAAAATTTCAGAATGGGCTGGTGGGAATAAGAAACGCGTGAAAAACGAACATGTGACCAAGGAATGCGGAAATCCTCCGGTCTCAATTGTCGAAGCCTTGGGAGCACCGCCAACGCCGAGCATTGAGCACTGCCGAGATTCACGCCACACGTGGCAACTTTATCTGACCCCACACGTGGACCTTCTCAAGTCGGGGCCTTGACGCTGAGCTGAGGGCAACGCTGAAATCACCACCGCACACGGCAAATCTTGCAAGCCCTATGGGCGCCAAATCGCCTCCAGTGTGGCTCAAGACAGCCCAAGGTGGCTCAAGATGGCTTCCAGGATGTACCTGAGAGGCCTCAAGACCAGCCCGAGTGGCCACTGAGCCTCCCGAAGAAACCCCCGAGAGGCCAACACCTTCCAACATCTCCTGTACTACCGTCTCGCCCTGCCTCTTCCGATAGGCTTGTGAAGCTTCCCAAGCGGCTCCAGGAGGATCGCCCAAAGGGGCCGCACGAGGGATTCGTAACGGCTCCAATGCGATGCCCAGGGCGCGGAAGAGCGCCCCAAGAGCGAGCAAGGAGGGCCTCGAGAGGCGAGTATGCAGGCTCTGACGGGGCCAAGCTGAGTAAGGCCCATTTCTCTAGCTGTTGCGCCAATCTGGATCCGTGATGGCTGGGTACGTATCAAAATGGCCGGGTATGTGCATATCCAAAGTTGGCTTCGAATATATCTCCACATGCCGACTCCAATCGGCCTCGGATACTCCCAAGGACGCCTCGAGATGCGATAAGTCGATCGACAAACTGTGGTGTTCAATGGTTGTGGCGTTCTCGCGATTTGCTTCCGATGGAGTCAGGAGGCCGCAAGATGGATACAAGATCCCCGACAAGAGCCCCGAGAGGGGGCCATGAAAGGGTCAATGAACCCCACAAGAGCGCCCCAATTGAGTCCCAAGGGGTGTTCATTTTCGGACCCAGACGGTGCCACGTGACCTAAAAATCTCCGCTTGTTCGACCGCTGGCGTCCTGGATCGGACCAGGAGCGCCCCGGAGGCCTCACGGGCCCCAAGAGAGCCCCACATGCTTCGGAAACGGCGGAACAGGGGCCTCCATATTGTCCGAGGGGCTTCTACATCGAAAGACACGCGGAGGCATTCATGGTTGAGCACTGGGTCCGCCCAGGCTGATCCCGAGTTTCGGCATGACGGCTGCCCCACCCACCCAGCCTACACTGTTCAGCTGCATCTTCCGCATCTCCCTGATCAAGACAACTCGCCCGGGCACCGTTCCTGGATGGACTGATGGGAATGCCCGAAGGGTCAAGAAGCAGAAGATCGTTGCACACCGTCTGAAAACTGCTGAATGCAATGTTTGCCCAATGTAACACATCATGCGAAACCAAATTCAATGAACCTGCGCAAATGTGCCAGTTATCAGAATTTAAACTAAAGCGAAGCAACATCACAGGCCAAACGGTTCTATGTTGTCCTCGAGTGCACGGCTGCAGGGCGTTGTTATTACTGTTGTCATCGTCGCGCGGCAACCCGCCCCGTGACCCACCCGCGACCGATCCCACGACCCCCCCTCCCGCGACCGACCAGCGACACACTCTGGGATCCACCCACGATCCACCCCGCGACCCACCCACGATCCACGCCGCGAGCTATTGAAACCAAACTCAACGCCTGCAGCGGGCTGCCTCTTGTGAGTGTTAACGAATCGGCACCAGCGACGGGCCGACTGTGTCGAAAAATTGACGCCCAAAGATGTTCGTTCACAGTGGCGCTCGAACCCCGCAACCCTGGCGTCCTCCCATACTTCACTCTTATCCGCAATCGCGGAGCTTAGATATAGAGCAGGTATGTGCTAGGCCGATTTGCAATAGCCGAAGCCAGCTGAATTAGACAAACCTCAAGACTAACTTAGTTAGCTTCGCAACTTGTTTGGGCTGATCCCTGCTTCGGTATGACTGAAGGCACTGCCTGTGCTCCACCCGCGCTCATCCATGTGGTTTCTGACGGCAACTGTTGTGCACGATGCTCTTCAGGATGGGCAGATAGGGTACGAGAAGCCCCCCAAATGTCTACCCAACCTCAAAACATGACCGGAGTCAGTACTAACATCTCTGAGCATTACAGGGGGGCCACATCCCAGCGTTGACGCCCGTCAGCGCCGCGCTGATGCCCTCTGGCACATCCTGGGGACGGAACGACAGGCGCGCACATGATTACGAACTGTAATTGCGAACTTGCTGCGGAGAAAGGGTGGGAGCGGAGTGGATGGGGATGGGGACGCGATGAAGAGAAAGGCGGGGCATGAACTCGCCTCGGCAACGTGTGGATCGCATGTGCGGCAGCAGTGCCACGGCGGAGATCTGCGGGGCGGGGCAGGAGGAAGCTGCCGTGACCTAGCGTTCCAACATATCGGACACTCCCGGGCGATACGATCGCCCCTCCTGCGGCACGCCTGGCTGCCACCATGGCGCCGCGCTCTGCAGGGACCAGGCTGGCAAACGAGCCCTCTCTCGACGGCGGCGCCGCCAGCCCGCAGCCGCCACCATCCTCCGCTAGCTTCCTCCCCCTCCCCCTCTTCCCCCTCCTCCTCCTCCTCCTTCTTCTTCTGCTTCTTCTGCTCCTCCACCCTGTCCTCCTCCTCTCTGAGTCCTTCTCCTCCTCCACCTTCTCGTCCTCCTCCTCTTTCTGCTCCGCCTCTCTGAGTCGTCGTCGTCCTCCTCCTCCTCCGCCTCCTCCTCCTGTTTCCCCTCCCTTCCTCCTCTCAATCCCATTTTGGGTGAGCGGCTCATGTTGGGATTCCCCCGTCTGTCCATGGATCCCTTGTGCTTTTAATACGCAGGTTTGACGGTCTCTCCGCGAAGTGAAAGCAGGGGAGTATTTCGAAGCCGTGGCCCCTGCTAGCGGCTCTCGTGCTGCTGGGCGGCGTGACGCTACTCCGTAGCCTGTGCAGGGTGGTGGTGTGGTTCTTTCCCTAGTGCCAGGAACGGCGGCGGCAGGCCAGCCAGAACCCTCCGACGGCCAAACCAAACAGAACATCCAAGGGTACCCTCCCCGGGATCCACAAGAACACCCAACAAACACGAAAAACAATAGGGTACCCTGCCCGAACCAACCTCGATCTGATGCCTCAGTCCGACTGTACTCTACGTTTCGTAACAAGCGTTGGGGGTGCCCCCCCCCGAGGGGGGTCAGCCTCGCTTCGTCGGCGCACCGCAGCGGGGAGGGTTGGGAGCGCCGTCGGCGCGCGGTAACAACCCGCAACGAAAGTCGGCTCAGGGCCGCTGGCAGGAAAAGCAAACGGTACTGGGACGAACCCCAACCGACCAGTCCCAATTCCAACCGATCGGGACGACTTGCAAACAAACTGGTCCCAATTATAAGCATTGACTATTACGGAACCTTCAGAATTGCGAGATCGTCTGAGATCTTCAAACATCGGCCTTGAGATACCATCAGACACCAAGGAAATCCTAAGACATCCCCAGGAATTTTGGGGAATCCCTGCGGATCCTGAGAAATCCTCAGGAACCCTCAAGAAATCTAACATATCCTTAGGCATCCTGAAACAACCAGGGATATCCTAGAGAATCCGCCGGAATCCTGAAACATCATCGGGAAACAAAAACTGAGATGCCCTTGGGAAACCAGAGGAATCCTGAGAAATCGTCGGGAATCCTTGGGGATCTTGAAGTATCACTAGAGACCTTGAGGAATCCTCCAGAATCCTACGGAATCCTGAAGAATCCTCGGTGCTCATGAAGAATGCTCAAAGATCGTGAAGAGTCTTGGGGAGATTCCTGAGAGATCCTCAGGAATCACGAGGAAACCAACTCGATCCTGAGGATACCCAGAGAATCTTGAAACATCCTCAGGAATCCCGACGGATCCTCAGGAATCTGGAAGAATGCGGGGGGATCCTGAGAGATCTTGAAGAATCCTGAGAGACAGTCAGGAATCCTGGGAGATCCTGAGGAATCCTGAGGATCTCTCAGGATTCCTGAAGACCTGAAGGATCCCTGAGAAGTCCTGAAAGATCCTGGGTGACCCCTGAGGGATCCTAAGGGACCCTGAGGGGTTCCTGTGGGGTCACGAGGGATCCTGCGGGGGATCCTGCAGGATCCTGAGAGATCCCGGGGGGTCCTGAAGGATCTTGCGGGACCCTGCGGGATCCTGAGGATCCTTTGGGATCCCGAAGGATCCGCAGGATCTTGAGTGGTCCTGAAGGTTTTTATGGAATCCTGAAGACCCCCAGGGGTCCCAAGGGTTGCTAAGGAATCCGGGGGATTCCGAAGGATCCCGCAAAATCGTGAAGGTTTCTATCAGAAGCATGGGGAATCTTAAAGAGATAAAAGGTGTCCTGAGGGTTCCCCTGGAAGTGTAAGGCATCCTCCGGAAACCAGAACGAGCCTGAGGAATCCTGAGAAATTCTCTGCGATTCTGGGGAATCCTGGGGCTTCCTAAACGGGACAAAAGGAATCTCGATGAATTCACAAAATCAGTATGTTTGTTTGACGAACCCTGACGAATCCAAAGGAACACCGAGGCGCCCTCAAGAGCCCTGAGGAAGAACCTTGAGGAACCCAGAGGAACCTTAAGGAACCCTGAGGAACCTTGAAGAACCTTGAAGAGGATCCTGAGGGATCCTCATGGATCCCTGAGGGATCTTCAGGGAACCTCACGGATCTTGGGGTTTCTGAAGGAGCTGAGGGGATCCTGAGGAACCCCGAAGGATCCAAAGGTATCTTTGAGGGTCTTGGGGGAGCCCGCGGGATATGTAGGGATCCTGAGGGGTCCTGAGGGATCTTGAAGGGTCCTGCGGCGTACTGAGGGACCCTCGGGGATCATCAGGGATCCCCAGGGATCCTGAAGGGGTCCTCATGGATCTTAGGGGATCCTCAGGGGTCCTGAGGGGTTATGAGGAACCCTGAACTGAAGAATCTGAAAGGTTTTCAGCAATCCTCCGGAATCGTGAACGACCCCGAGACGCTGTTGTGCACGCAAAGGTTGCGGTGTTCGACATCCTCCTGCTGGTCCTCCGGGTCCTGCCGCCGCTGCCGCTGCTACTGTTGCTGCTCCTGCCTTTCGTACTGCTGCACCTCCCGCCCCTCCTGCTCCTCCATAGCCACGTCGGCTCACGGCGCACGTGGCCTACACCATACCGCCGCCCCCCAGGACAAGCGAAAGCTCGAGACAATTTTGGCAGTTATCGAACAGCCTTCGGCCCAACCCACCAACGTGCCTGGGATGTGGGCGTGGGGACGTATTCCCAACCCTCCTGTGTTGGGCACTCGTTTTGAATACAGCAGTGTGGTCACCCCGTCCTTCCTTCCTTCTCCCCCTCTCTCCTCCCCTCCTCCTTCTCTCCTGTTTCAAGTGTTCCCCTCTGCTCTTCCCTCGTGTCGTCGGGCTGCGATCTGCGCAACTGTCGCCACTTTCGTGGGCTCCTTTCGAGGCCCAGCGGAGGTGGGTCCCATGCAGATCACCTCGGTACCTCGCCGCCACTTTTGGGGGGCTTGCGATCTGGGCGACCGTCGCCACTTTCGTGGGCTCCTGGGAGGCCCAGCGGAGGTGGGTCCCACGCGGATCACCTCGGTACCTCGCCGCCCCTTTGGTGGGCTTGCGATCTTCGCAACTGTCGCCACTTTCGTGGGCTCCTGGAAGGCCCAGCGGAGGTGGGTCCCACGCGGATCACCTCGGTACCTCGCCGCCCCTTTGGGGGGCTTGCGATCTGCGCAACCGTCGCCACTTTCGTGGGCTTCTGGGAGGCCTAGCGGAAGTGGGTCCCACGCGGATCACCTCGGTACCTCGCCGCCCCCTGGGGGGCTTGCGATCTGCGCGACCGTCGCCACTTTCGTGACTCCGGGGAGGCCCAGCGGAGGGGGGTCCCACGCGGATCACCTCGGTACCTCGCGCCCCCTGGGGGGCCTTGCGATCTGCGCAACTGTCGCCACTTTCGCCGGCTCCTGGGAGGCCCAGCGGTGGTGGGTCCCACGCGGATCACCTCGGTATCGTGCAGGGCTTGCGATCTGCGCAACCGTCGCCACTTTCGTGGGCTCCTGGGAGGCCCAGCGGAGGTGGGTCCCACGCGGATCACCTCGGTACCTCGCCGCCCCCTGGGGGGCTTGCGATCTGCGCAACTGTCGCCACTTTCGCCGGCTCCTGGGAGGCCCAGCGGAGGTGGGTCCCACGCGGATCACCTCGGTACCTCGCCGCCCCCTGGGGGGCTTGCGATCTGCGCGACCGTCGCCACTTTCGCGGGCTCCTGGGAAGCCCAGCGGAGGTGGGTCCCACGCGGATCACCTCGGTACCTCGCCGCCCCTTTGGTGGGCTCGCGATCTGCGCGACCGTCGCCACGTTCGTGGGCCCCTGGGTGGCCCAGCGGAGGTGGGTGCCACGCGGATCACCTCGGTACCTCGCTGCTCCCTGGGGTGCTTGCGATCTGCGCAACTGTCGCCACTTTCGTCGGCTCCTGGGAGGCCCAGCGGAGGTGGGTCCCACGCGGATCACCTCGGTACCTCGCCGCCCCCTGGGGGGGCCTGCGATCTGCGCAACGGTCGCCACTTTCGTGGGCTTCTGGGAGGCCTAGCGGAAGTGGGTCCCACGCGGATCACCTCGGTACCTCGCCGCCTCTTGGGCTTGCGATCTGCGCAACCGTCGCCACTTTCGTGGGCTCCTGGGAGGCCCAGCGGAGGTGGGTCCCACGCGGATCACCTCGGTACCTCGCCGCCCCCTGGGGGGGGCTTGCGATCTGCGCAACCGTCGCCACTTTCGCCGGCTCCTGGGAGGCCCAGCGGTGGTGGGTCCCACGCGGATCACCTCGGTACCTCGCCGCCCCTTGGGGGGCTTGCGATCTGCGCAACCGTCGCCACTTTCGCGGGCTCCTGGGAAGCCCAGCGGAGGTGGGTCCCACGCGGATCACCTCGGTACCTCGCCGCCCCCTGGGGGGGGGGGCTTGCGATCTGCGCAACCGTCGCCACTTTCGTGGGCTCCTGGGAGGCCCAGCGGAGGTGGGTCCCACGCGTCGGGCTGCGATCTGCGCACCCGTCGCCACTTTCGTGGGCTCCTGGGAGGCCCAGCGGAGGTAGAACCAACGCGGATCACCTCGGTACCTCGCAGCCCCCTGGGGGGCTTGCGATCTACGCGGCCGTCGCCACTTTCGCGTGCTCCTGGGGGGCCCAGCGGA